TTCATGTACGTTTAGTTAGTAACTAATTTTTAATTACTACGTAGTATCTGCTGCGTAGGGTGGGGGGGGGGGGCTCTCAGAAGTCAATAGCACTGCGGAATACTGAAAAACAAGCATAGTTGTAATATGTTTCAACCTAAATGGCACCGTACTGAACCTTCTCCCTACCGACCAGGTAGAACATCCAGTCGAAAAACACCCGCTGACACAATAATTTTGTCCGGTTTTGGACCGAATAACAGCATTGACTTTTACTTTTATAACGCACCCACAGATGAAAACGTAAAGCGTATTAAATTGTGTCGTGGCACAAACCTTGGACCTCACGAGCGCGGCCCAATACCCTAATTGCCAGGCCAGCACGGTCCTACCGAAAAGCAACAACTGTTATTCTCCGTTTCGCTTGTCTTGCAAAGTTGGCTCTACTAGAAAAAGGATTGCACCGAAGGGAAAACGAAACGTTGTGCTCACTTGGCACTGTTCACAGTACGTTTTGTACGTTAGTGTAATGTGCTTTTTAACACGAACCTCTGTCACACTGACGTGAACAATGTGTAATAGTAAAGAAGGAGTCGCTTTCCAAACTTTAAACATCATTAAGACAACAATTACAGAAATACGGGGGCAACAGTTCTTTGAAATTGTTTTTTTTTCCTCAAGAACACCATGGCCAGGTGGTTAGGGCCCCAGCATGGGCAGGTCGTTAGGGCGTTTGACTCGCAATCTGAGGGTCACGGGTTCGAATCCCCGTCTCACAAAACATGCTCGCCCTTTTAGCCGTGGGGGTGTTATAATGTCACGGTCAATCCCATTATTCGTTGATAAAAGAGTAGCCCAAGAGTTGGCGGTGGGTGGTGATGACTAGCTGCCTTCCCTCTAGTCTATCGCAGCTAAATTAGGGACGTGTAGCTTTGCGCGAAATCCAAAACAAACAAAGAAAGAAAACAATATTCCGTTCTTATGAATAACCTTAAGCCTCGTTTCGCGTCTTAGGAAGTGCTAATGATTTGTTTTCTTCAAACAGCTTACAACAATATAATTACCTTTAACTACAGAAAGCTACAAAACTCGAATCTAGTGAACTGTGTAAATAAATTATGTTATCCAAGCATTTATTGTTCGCGACTTGTTGCCGCAAAAAATCTTGCGCTTTGAGATCGTGGATTTTGTTGACTTTCCTCTAGACCAGTGGTCGGCAACCTATGACTCGCGGCAATAATTTGGCTGACCTGCCAAAAGTTGGCTTCACCATTACAACCCGTGAGGGCGCAATCATTGTTCAGTTCAAGTTTCTCGGCTATGTGAGAAGAACAACGATATTAAAGGAAAGAGTCACGGCTACGGAGAATTTTAAGATCAATTTAAGGGAAAAATATCAAACTCGTCGAACTATTAATTTTTTGGTATGTTTGTTTGAATTTCGC